ATAAAATTCATTAGTGTCATTAGGAAAAGAAACCGAATATATTTAATTTAACCTTTTTGTATATTTGAAATAGACTTAGAAATGAGTTAGTATGCAATTACTTGTTTTACTCAACTAATCGTTTTTTGCAATTTTAAAAATTGCTTATATATGAAATGTAAATGCTAATTTCATTGTCACCTATTCTAAACATTTACAAATAATCTAGAACTTGTACTGGGACTTTTATTTTCAAAGTATATTAAGCCAAACTTAAAATACATTGTTTAAATTCCTACTGTTTTGGCTTTTCTAACTCTAACTAAAACTATCGCCATGCAACTCTCAACTTCTCCAGTGAATATTATGCTTTAGAACAAATCTTTCAACATTTATTAAGGCTGCTATTGCTAATCAAAAGTGTCAAATACACCAGGTGACTTAAAGGCACAGAATTCGTTTTGAAACCAGGGGGGTAGTTTCTTGTCAACGAATCTACAATAATTTTGTTGTATTTTATTGGTAGGTTAGAGGTCTCGAGATTTCTATCAGGCGTTATATTTAAAACACCAAGCAGATCAATATTGTTACTTTTAAGACCAACTCGGTTTTAAGCTGGGAATATCGCGAATAAACGTGTCATCCCACTTAACAGAAGTGACATTTATCTATGCGTTAAAAACCCCTGCTTCGAAGAGCCATATAAGAGCCGTGCCCTGCCTGCATTTTATTGCTAAACAGCGAGTGGCTGGCTATTCTCTCGCTTCCTCTAGACCAAAGGCAGAAAATATGAATGAATTCACAAATACGTTCACTTAGATATTTGCCTTCAACGTTATACGGAAAATTAAAGTGGTGTGTACTTTGGTGTTAAGAGGTTTAGCTTTAGTTTAAAGAAGCGCAATTTTAAATGATTATCAGGGGTATATTAGTTGCCAATAGTCAAAAGTAGACGACGATAAATATTTATTTATTTATTTATATCAAATGGCATGCGTTTTGATAGTTATCATTAGCCCTGGAGCTGACTTCGGGGTTTTGAAAGTTATCATTAGCCCTGGAGCTGACTTCGGGGCTTCACAGCAGAGATAGGGAGGAGGAACATTAAAGTGACAAAAGTCGAGATGGGAGACAGAATAATGATTCACGGAGGTTAAAAGTCGAGATGGGAGACAGAATAATGATTCACGGAGGTAAAAAAGACAGACAGAAACAAAGGCATAAAATAGGTAAGATGAGTACTATGAAGGGGTCGATTATGACAAATAGTCGGGGCATAGTAGTTTGAAGTCAGAAGTCAACTGCCGGTTTGATAGACTTTTTTGCCGTGTGAGTATACGTTGCCCAGGGTGCACCACGTGGAGGGAAGTCTATTGCGCACCCCACTACGATAAATATAATATTAACTAACCATTCAACTAACTGGTCTTTATTTTTGCGTGGTAAGGTAGTGGTGTCATGCTTTTATCAAATTTAAATCCTCGTCCATCAACAATGCTATCGTTGGGTTCAGGTTAAATATTCAAACCCATATTCAAACTATCATTGATTCGCTTAATCATTGATGGAGGTTTAGTACTAAGAAATGCCGTTCATTCGTCACTTAGTAAAAAATGGAACCAAACTATGTTAATAGAAGGCACTTTCCTGAAATAATTCCCAACATCTCCTTAGCTAAAGTAAGGTTCAAATCACTTTTCATTACTTTCAAATGAAATCACTAACTTTTTTCCACTTTTGGCACATCGTATAATTTGCGTCTTTTTTTTCGCATTTCAGAATCGACCAGGCGACGATTCTCACGAGTTTCGTTCGCTCTATCCACCTGTAATTCAAATACAACTTCAGGTATGTGCCTACTAAGGATATTCATTATGATAAATATTTTTATAAAAACCCAAATTATAAGTGTTTCAATTGTAAATATTGTCTTTAAGGAAGAAGATATATCTACTTAGCTTCCTCAGTGAACAATGTAAAGTTAAGATGACGGGAATTAAGTTAAGCAGAGGTCCAGCAAGTTGTTATATATATATATATATATATATATATATATATATTCTTCATATAAATTATTAAATTATCTCAACCATATGATAGAAAGAGTATAATTAACTTAACCTGAGATTATTTATAGATTAACAAGAAGATGAATAAATTCTTTTGAGTTTTCAAATGGCTTTTTTATAATATTAAGAGCTTGAGTCAATGTATTTAAGCTTCGTTGATTAGAATAATGTATACTATGGGAATGAATAAAAGGACTCTTAAAACATAGATAGGTAGGTTATGCCTATCAAAGAACCTGCCATTTCCTTTACCCAGAGGTTGTCACTTGGAGTACAAAGGCTCAAGCAAAAGATATCAAAAATTGGCGAATGGTAGTTTGAGGGTTTGTGTGAAGGCTAATTGTTTAAAGATCGCCTATAACCGATGCTTGGAAATAAGGGGTGTTCATCGATTTCGTTTCAATAAGCAAGTGTGCGCAGATCAAGTAGATTTATGGATAAAGAAGACGATTTCTAAATTCTAAAATATGGAAAAAATAATTAATTCAACAATTTATACATTCGTTTTTACCCGGGGATACATTCAACACATTGAATAACAGCTGAGATTTTAAACCCTTGCACGGATGAATTACATTTGTGCTTGAAAGGGTATGTTTAATTAAAAGTTACTATGAATTTGTCATTAAAAATAACGGCAACAGTGTCAAATTTGAACAAAAATGTTCGCCCAAGTATTTTGTAATGCCAAGTGTTCGAATCTATAGGTGCGGGTTAATTATCTGGGGTTGGCAAAACTCATCACTTCCATCATCGCTATAAGATGTAAATTCATGGTCGTAGAGCCTTCATGATTCGACCTGATTGCTTACATTTGCTATAGTGGTATATGCTTGGTCCGATTCCGCTAACCAGAAATCAACATTTTATGCAAGCGACCTAGTGCATATAGGCAAGACAATACGAGATGGAGGGGGATAGAGGATGGGGAGGGGATTTGGGGAATGGATATGTGTGTGTGTGGGTCTGAAAGCCGTGTAGCAAAAGACCTTTTTCTGTCCGCATTGGTGCAGTATCGTGAATGAATGTAAATGCACACAAATGCGCACATGTTGCTAGAGGTTTGATCTAACTTGTATTTGTGTTACGCTTTTCAGCAATATGCTATCGAATTGGAAGCTCGCAAACCGCAGTTGGATAAACTGATTATCGAAACACAACGGCTTGAAGAGGAATTACGCCATACAGACAACAACTACGCCGATCACCTCTCCACTATGAGTGAGTAAAATTTTATTATGTATGCTACTGTTCATGGTAATGCTAGGAACTTATAAGCCTTACTCATGAAATAGAACCGGCAAGCAAGTCCAGTGGGTTATGAAATTTGAGGAAAATGATAAAATCAAACCACTGAATTTCTAATTTTATTTGAATTCCGAAATCGTTGATTTTTCTATATACTGGTAAAGTGCTTAGATTTAATGAATTATCTCCTGGGTTATTTGAAGGAATTGTGTACACCATACTTAAATCTTGACCTGTAAATTCAACCTTGTATAAATTGTGTGTGTTACAAAGAGATATTTCATTTTTTACCACAAATTGCTTAAGGGCAAATTTTTGCTGTTTAGACCCACAAAACTATACTTAACTGTTTTTATCATCAGTTTCACTTACTAAATTTACTGGTACCTTAGAAAGCACGCCAAAAACGAAATGCTTTGATCACAATTAAAGAGAGGACATCAAATATCTGGCGAGTGATTGGCTTTGAATACTTTAGGGGAACAAATTGCCTTGCCGATCAAAGTTTTCATCTACAATGAACAGGAATGTTATAAGTAAAACTAAATGGTGATCATTTTAGGTGACATTTACTGCCTATTAAAGTAACTAATAGCACCCCTCTAAACCGCTGAATACTAAAACATAATGCAGAGGTTGATGCACTGTTTGGATGGGGTGTAACAACGGGTTTGAATTTGAGTACCTCAAGGATACATCCCCTTAGCAACAATTACATTCTCATTTTCATTTATTCATTTTCCTTAACGGACATAAACAGTAAATGTGTGAATTGATTTCGTACCCATCTCTAGTCTAACAGTTTAGCTAATTTACATGCACAAAAAATAACTGTTCTTTGGGAAGATATTAAAAATGGCTTGCTTGCCTAAAGATGTAATGCATTTCAAATTCATATCTAACTAACCCGAGCTTTAAATTCTTATTTCGATAAGAATAAATTCAATTAATCATTATTTTGCTATACTTTTCAAACCACTTTTTTTCCAAGCGCTTCTTTCCAATTTGTCACTCACATGACATAGCTTTATTTTCATCAATGTACTTACAAGGGCCTAAATAACACCTTATACTGTCTAAAATCTTGATTTTTAAGCCAGGAAACGTCTGTTATTTTTTTAAAAGGTTGAAGAAAATTTGTCAGATGACTTTCAGTTCGATAAGCTAGAATGCCCAAACAATGGCAATATTATTTCAGAGGGGCAAACATTATGCTATTTTTTGAAAAAATTGTTCCCAGAAAATCTAATAATATTGACCAAGTTATCTTAGTTGTTTGTCATGTAATGCAGTTGACAGGAAAATGCGAAATCTCTACATAAATTCTACAGAGCTACTTGAGAACTATTTTCCATAACTGCTAGGTGGGAAATTTTATTCCAGTACTTTTGACAAGAAAATTTAAATTTGCGCACAATTTTACTTTATACTCCTCGTCGTTATCATCGGCCACCTACTTAAAGTCACGATACCTAAGCCATGATTGGTTGTCGCCTTGAGTATGTTTATTGGTTACTGAGAGGTGAGCAAATATGACTTGTTCCTCGTTTCTCCACCCAAGCAGAGAGGTAATATAGTCCTCAAATGCTCAGCTGGGAATTTTGCTACGTGTTGCACTCTTCCTCATGCAAATATGTCCTCATATCTCACCTCATCCTTAGTTCATGTCGTTAGTAGTATAAAACGTACAGTAAACGAGTTTGTTGGTGAGACTTCGGGTACTGGGGACATTGAGAAAGGCTCTAACGCTGTAAATGGAAAGCATAGCACTGGAGGTGTGGATTTTATTCAGTCGCGCTCTCGGCGGGGTTCTATTTCTGATTCTTCGAATTGCAACTCCCCGTCTCCGCATGCAAATGATCCTCAGGAACCGCCAAGAAGGCTATCTTTAGCTGAAATATTTGGAAATACGGGTGAGACAATTAAGGATCAAATGCCGAGTCTTTCAGAATTAGAGTCCCCAAAACATTCCCCCATCCTTCACCAGAAAGAACCATGTTCACCGAGACAAACCTCAAAAATAATTCAGAGAATGCCAATTTCGGAAAACTCTGTCAGGTGGAAACCTCCAAGTCTGCCTTCTTTGAGCACTCTGCTTGAAGAAGATACTGAAAAGTCATCGGAGTCTTTTTCTCAAAATGTCTGTTCTTCATCATCTGAGTCTGATCATGAATCAAGTTCGAAAAAGCACTTAGAAGAGTTCCATGCACCAACGCCTCAAATTGAAGTACAAGAATCTAGTTCTTTAGAACATGCTGTAGATGCAGTAGGTTCGTTGATGTAATAATCAAGTCTATTTTTTAAATCCGTTCAAATTTAATTTCAAGTTTAATGGACGGTACCGTCGAAGGATTCATCTCAGATTTTAAGAATTCCGGAAATAATTAGGAATTTTTTGTTCAATTTTATTGTTTGCCCGATGCGACATTTTTCTCGACATGTGGACTAAATGATGTCGCGCCTGGAATATTTGCATAATATTACATAAAGTACAGTTTAATTTGAACTTTGTTGTTTAAAAATTAGCACTTTTAGTATTAACTAGCGCTCAATATGAAATGGATTATATGTACAACAGAAAAATTTCATAGAAGAGCGTACGAAATTTATCTTAAAAACATTCTAAAACTTAACTGCTTTCGGATATATACTGTAAATGAGGTATAAATGGAGGCAATCATTATGTGATATATTCTTCTGAAATTTAAACGAAAAACGAACGTAAGGCATTATATTAGTTCAATTTAACAATTCACACAAATAGGTGTAATTTTACGTTTTCCACTATTTAAATTTCATTAATTTTATGTTAGCGGAGTTGTCCATTAATTAGTTTCTTTTATCACCAGCTGTCAAAATAGGGAAAAAAATTAATCAGTTATTTGAACTTTTCATTTAAACAAAGTTTTTACAGATTTATCATTGATACCAGTAAAATTTTTTTAACTATTTCTAAAATTGTCTGGCAAATTTTAATTTTAATTTGTTACTTTTTTAATTTCAGCTAAATTTTACTATTCGTCATAAAATTTATGCAAAATGTAAACGAAGAAGTTCTAAGTTTATTTTAATCTCTGAATGCTTTGTAAGTGTTCAGATTTACTTTTAAGTATAGATAATTTTTGAAAAGGCCGGGAGAGTTAATGTCTTTCACATAATTTGATTTGATTCTAATTATTTTTAATGTGTATTTTGTAGTTGAGGAAGTGCGTCAGTGCTGGAATGAAACGAGTTCTCAAGTGAAAGCTCGGCTCGATGAGCTCGAGAAGATGATGACAGCTACTGATGAGCTCAAGACCCTTGAGAGAGAACTTGATAGATGGCTTTCACGCGCTGAATCCAATCTTGAGGACGCCATTTCCAACACCCAAGATATCGGCGAAAGGAAACGCATAATCCAGGTACTTCCATATCCTTGGCTTTTTACATTTTTTGTATTAAGTTGTGCTTATTCGGGGTTTGATTATCTTTGGTTTAAGCATATTAAATTTTGGCTCCTATTTATCTTACCCAGAATAAAAAAGGTGATTTAAATCCGCCTATCAGGAAAGCTAATTAGTTGAAACATATCAGGATATATGAGGAATCGCGCGTGGGGGGGGGGGCTATATGGCACATTCGTAAATGGGTGTATACATTAGACAATCGATGATCGAGACCATGGCGGATAATGTTCTTGAATTATGCTTAGCCTACAACGTAAATGAATATTCACATCAAATTCCTAACATTAAGTGGTTTAAGGAGTCAATTTACTATAGCAAGAAAATCAACGTCTTACAATATTGGTCATAGATGAAGTCTAATTCTTAATCATTGGAGTGAAATGACTGAACGAATCTCCTAACTAATGAACAAGGTGGATAAACGTAGTGAATGGTAATGATTGCATTTCTATTTTGCTACTACTCAACATTCTTATCGATAAAACAGCTCGTTTATTTGCAATATTAATTTATGTGTATTATGACAATATTTATCATGGGAGCAAAGATTTTAGTCAGAGTTCCCTGGAAATTTCATATAATAGCACGATTTTGTTTCAGGAAATAATTGACAGGCTTCCAGACGGAGAAACCAAGTTCACGCTTCATCAGAATAAATGCGAAGCGATTCTGGAAAAATACTCCAAAGAAGACACGCAAAAGTTCCGTAGTGATCAGGAGGCGATTCAGTTGCGCTGGTCTCAACTAGTTACCAGGTACGTAGATTTTTCAGAAATTTTGCTTTCACGACTGCAAAATTTTTACGTTATGAAGAAAATATTGAATTTCTTTTCAGTTTTACAGCTTTGTGGATTAAAGCTAAGAGGAATCGGTTGATGGGGTTTAAAATATTTATTTATTTCTTTCAAATGGCAGACATTTGATAGTTGTCGTTAGCCCTTTAGTTGACTTCGGGCTTCACAGAAGGGAGGAACATTAAAGTGAGAAGAAATGATAGGGAGGAAAAGAAGAGCGATTCACATCAAAGTGACAAAAAGTCGAGAGGGTGGACAGAATAATGATTTAACCCTTTAGCTGACTTTGGGCTTCACAGAGAGGAGGAGGAAACAGACATAAAAGACAGACAGACACAAAGGTAGAGAAAAGGCTAGATGAGTACTCTGGAAGGGGTCGAATATGGCAGAGTGCGGTCATGGTAGTTTGAAATCAGATGTCAACAGCCAGTTAATGGACTTTTTTGCCGTATGAGTATACGTTGACCAGGGTGCACCACGTGGAGGTAAGTCTATCGCACACCCCAGGGTTTAAAATATCAAATTGCTTTAGGCATCAGCTATGCATTTTTACGAATTCGAATAATGTTTCTGTTTAGATATCTCAATTCTTTAAGATTAAAGCCCCTCTATTGTGCATATTGAGGAAGACATTTTGCGGCATGAAGTTTTGATCCCCTTTCCCTTAAATCTCTTGGATATTGGATAATGAAATCATTTGTAATCGTTATGTTTGAGTGATTGATGCTTCTTTGGATATTGCAAACCGAATAAACTGTTATTTTCACCTTTAAAAGTGTTTATCAAGGTATATTAAGTGTATTTAAGAAACTGCGTTCAAGGAAGGATGAGTATTTAAAAAAAAATTGTATTTTGTTCAAACATAGTATTATTATTACTACCAATCTTTTAAAAAACCACTTTATTTTATAGTTTTGTTTAGCTTGTCATTTGTAGTCTAATCACTGCATCTGTTATTTTCAATACATTATTTGTCCTCTACGCGAAATATAACATGTTTAGTGGTTTGAAAAGTAACCAATGATAAGTAACTCGCACATTGTCTAAATTTAACCCACAATATCCATTTAGTCTTCGTGAATCACTTGAAGGAGCAGCACAACTGGATCCTGATCTCATCGAAATTCCAGTTGCTGCTCAGCCCAAAAGACCTGAATCCGATCTTCAACGAATCGTTCGTTTGAGAACTGCCACCTCTCAACAACCTGGAGCATGCAACTCCGGTGATCTAATTCGCCCGATGGAATCAAGGAGTATGGAGACTTCTGTCATAGATGCATTCGGAAATGGTGATGCCAATCCACCTCGAACCTATGGCACCATGGGACACCGTGGCTATGGACAGAAAGTATGTTTTCGGAAAAAAATTAGCATTATATTTAAATTTAACGAAATGAATTCACCTTGGCATTATTTCTTGTCGGCAATTTGAAGTCGGCGATTCTTTACTGTACCTCGAAGCAAGTGATTCGTTAATGGTTTTTCACGCAAGAAAAGTGAAATTTCCGAAAAATTGCGGCAACTGGAGTATAATTAAATTTTATTATATATTCTAATATTTAGTTCACTGCTTCTACGCAAAACACTCCTATAAAATTTATATACATAAGAATATTAAAATTATTAATGATAATTCATTAACAAATGAAGTAATTACTATTTGTTTTTTGTTTTTAATTTTTCGTACAGCCATTATTGGATGAGAACTATCGGAACAATCAACTCTCTCGAAGTGTTGAAATCCGTTCAAGGCCGTACGATTCAAGGTAATTCTGAAAGAATTCATTATTTAGAAGATTTCGGTTTGCCAATTTCGTTTCTAAGATTAGAGGCAACTGGTTCTTCTCCATACGTTTTAAAGGAAATTATAAATGGAATATTGATTTTAGATTAAATATTTGCAAGCAGGTACTTTGTGTATGAATTAGAATAATTTTCAATGCGGCAACTAAATATTCGAAGTGGTCTTCTGCATCTTATTTTGAATTAATCAAAGACAGAACTGCTGTAGTGCCTAACATGCAACTCCATGCATAATGAATGTGTTTGTATATATATTACTTTTTTATGTTCCTTATAACTTTAAGTTGATTAGGTCACCAGTAGAGTTGGGTCTGACACTTTTCATACTTGTCATTCGTAGCGAATCACTTCCATTTGCTTCATTTTTGGATTAATTTTAAATGATGGAAAGTTATTGGGTACTTAGAACTAATGAGATAATTTGGGGACATTGCATCTTAGAAGGAAAGGAATGTCACAAAAATTTTTCATGCACGCAATCAGCATGAATTCGAATTGAAGGAATTTCTTCCTTCTATTGGATGGATGAATGCATTAAAATGCTAAATTATTTACGTTAGTTCGAAAGCGTTTCTCATCCTCCTGCTTGGAGGGGACTAGTTATGGAGCTTGTTGAAAGAGGATTTATGTGTCTGAATCCTAATAATGTTTACTTAATAGAGGAAGCAGGGTAAATCGTTGTGTATTTTAATACCAATTTCATTTCTTCCTGTTCTTAACGTATTAATTCATTAATTCAGGTCCTCTCAAAGACTCCCCAACGAAAATTGGCGACTCTTCTTGGCTCAATTACGACAAACGAACGATTGGCTGGCTCATCAAGATGCGAATTTTCATCAACTTAAAGGCACTATCGGCGGTGATAGCGAAAGCGTCAGTCAGCTCATCAATTCTTTCTCAGTACGTGGATATATAAGCCTTATTTCAATTGATATATGCATTTGGAATCAGCAAAATAAGGATATTTTGGTCAAATATATTTTGACCATATTAATAAGAATTTTACAAAAAATCTTAAACATGGTAGAATCATACTCGTTCTAGAATTGATATTTTATTTATTTGTAGATTTTGGAGGATGAGATTCGTCAACATAAATTCCAAGTCGATGAGCTTCTCAATCGCGGAAAGATATTTATGCAAGACCAGACCATTGACGGAAGATATTGTTTGAATATGGATTCTGAAGGTATCTCCTTTTATCCTGAGAATAACTTTTTTGCAATTCTGTTCAGTTTTTAAAGTTAATTTTAGTTATATTCAATGTCTTTATACTAAAAATGGATTTGTGAAACGGATAATTTCCTTCCCACGCGTCAACAGGCCTTCAAAATTATATATATTTATGAATTTTTAATAAAATATCTTATCACAATAAGTGATGACTAGCTAAGTAATGGAAGGTCACAGAATATAATTACTAATTCCAATACATGCTTTGTATCTTGAGAGTGAATCATTTCGTGTCATTCATCTCTTGACGCAGGTGGTTTCCTTATAGCATTTGCCCTATTTCTCGCTTGTTCTGAATTAGGTTAAATTGGTAAATAATTTAATTAATGAAGATTAATAAAGAGGTAGCATATTTAGCCCATTTAAACAGCTTTTTTTATCCATTGGAGATTTTAAATTGTTTCAAATAATAAATACCTGATGGAGTCCTAGTTTTTTCCATCGTGTCAATATAGTTGAAAAATACCTGCTTCAGTTTGCTTACGAGCAAAATATTTGGCTGTATTGTGCTATACAAAAGTTATGACACATGTGTATTCTTTTAATCAGTGCATTTCCAAGCAGACAGCGTCATAGTTTGAAAGCCATTTGTTTTTGGTATTTCAAATCAAACTTTCAGAAATTAATTTGCCTCAATCCATGTAATTGCAGCATTAAGTTTAGCACATCCAATTGCATAAATCGAATATCTCTCTCCCTCTTGCAAAAAATCTTTTCTTAGAATTAACCTTTGTGAACACTCCTCGTAATCACTTTTTAGGCAAAAAAAGGCTAAAGGTCTAGTTTCCTAATCTTACATCCCTCTTAGAAATTGTTACACTTCTGTTCGTAAGACCAGGTGACGTCTTTGCATGGAGCGTAGAGATGCAAATATCATCACTGATGAAGGAATTTACATTTTGCTTTCTCTTCAATTATTTGGCTACAATTTACATTTGGCTAGTAAGATGTCCCATTTCCAACTACAGCGATGTCAAGAGGCAATGCTTTAGTTTGACGAATTTCTTACACTTAGGACGCAATTGAACCCTATGTAAATTCGACCTAGAGACATACTGAATTTTCGATTGATAAGTGAGCTGTAATATGGCGATGTATTGTAGGAAAATGGAGCCTTCTTAAGGGATTGTTACTAAGTATAGGAGTTTCTAAGGAATTTTATTATTTTGTAGTGCCTTATTTAATCTGATTGAGCTACCTCAGCAACTTTAATGTAGCAAGCGAATGTTACTCTAAGTGCCTCCTAGGAACTCATGATTATTGAACTCATCAGTCTGCTTGTTTACGATAATGTCTAAATTGTGTCAATAGTTAATACCTCAATGAAAAGTATTTCGGATTTCTTTGTATATAGGGGTGAAAATAAAATGGTGGCTGTCTAGTCTCTTTGCAATGCTCGTTCCAATTACTTAAAAACCTTATAATTCAAAGACATTCCCAGTCGCTTTAACAAAACTTGGAAACAGTGTAAATTCAATCTCGTGTTTCTCCTTGGATATCAATTTATTGAGAACCAAAAATGTATTTAGAGATGCGAAATAGGAATTAAAATTTTTCATTATTTATGTATCTAGGCGATTCTGATGGCTCAGAGTACGAACCCGGAAAGGTGGATGTGGATGAATCGAATATGAGCACCAAAAGAATTGTTCGACGTATACGAAGGCATCTAAATTATTTGGATAGACATTGGGCAGAACTGAATCGATCAGTGCTCACCTATCGCCAGCAACTTGATCGAGCTTTCCAGGCAAGAAATGGCGCAAAGCTTTTTTCACTTAATTTGAGATTGTTAAACCACTATTTCATTTTAGAAGCTGACTGTGTTCGAACGAGTACTCGATGACGCTGAAAATGAACTGAAATCCGCTCAAAAGCTTCTAATGTCTCAGGATCTTTCTTCTCCTACAAACGACCAGAAACTGCAGGTTAGTTTTAAAAAAAATTCCTCGTTTTTTCTTCTATTGCCTTACTCGCTTAAGTGTTCACAAAATATATTTCTTTATCTTCTTTTGCAAGACTATTTAAATTTTTAATCTTTTAGAGTTGTGCACCGAAGAAGTTTACCTTAAAGATGTAGGCTTAGAAAAGAATTTATGTTCCCATTGGAAGTGAATTAGCTCTGCAAAAGAAGGAAGGTTGCAGAGAAATTCTCGTGTTAATCATTAAATACTAGTTCTAATTAGACAAATGGGGGAATTAAATTGGCAGAATTAATTTAGTTTAATAGAAATTAATTCTATCAAAGCTATCACAACCATCTTTAACTTCCATTTCAAATAAGTATGATGCTTAACTAATGTTATTTGTTATATTAAGTTGAAACAGTTATTTTTGTTATCTTTTATTATCTAGAGACATTCACGTTAACAAATTGACATTTTTAGTCGCTCGATTATATGATTATTTATTTTAAATTATTAAACTCTTTGTTTCTAATTAGATTTTTCATTATTATGTCAAACTCATGATTAAGCGTAATTGCCTATTGTTTCTAAGATTAGGCCCTTGAATTATATATATATATATATATATATATATATATGCGTGTGTGTGTGTGTGTGTGCGTGTGGTTCAAGCTTATTATAATTAAATTTTCATCTAGGTTTTAGTCAGTTCAGTTTGGGTTTACTCCTCTCCATCAAGATAGTTGATATTTTGAAAGTACGAGGGTCTTGCAAACTTCGAATACACCTTCGTTTATTTATGAAAAGTCTTACAGTCTCCTTAAATCATTTCCTTACTGCTCAAAATTTTTACGCATCATAGATGATTTGGGATACCTGTGCCTCTGTAACTCATGCTATTGCTGGTCTAGACGGGCAAGCTCTGTGTCTCAGTGATGATGGAACTATCATATCCCACGTTCTAATCTCACGTCTGGATGGTTTGAAAATTGGGTAAGTCTGTCCATATTCCTTATTAATCGATGAGGCTAGTGACTAAATAATTAACATAAATAAAACGATTCACTAATTTGGGTTCGAGAAATCTTACTTGGTTATCGTACTTCCATATTTCCTTAATATCCTTACGAAACGATGGCAACACTAATAAGACTTAAAAATGAGGGTGTCCGCAACTTAAATGTTTCACCAAATTTTTCTACAAACAGCACAGAGAGAAGCGAAATAGTCCGTAGCTCGATAACGGAACCGATCTCCCACAATAAACATGAGTCGAAGTTAGGATAAGATCAAATTATGTGTGTACTAAATGGAGATCAGAAACCAATCGCTAAGTTCTTAAGGGAGCACATGACACTGTGCACATTTAGAGCTCACTGCATAAACAATAATTGTCTATTCTTCGATAAATTTATGATAAGTTGGCTACTCACGAGGTATTTGCGCAGTTGGCGTTCCAAAACTTTGCCGGATTTATCCCAAAACACTCTTTTACTGATTGGATCAGAAAGTAATATTTGTCTCCATTAATTATTTTGCAGCCAAAAGGTACAAAATTATTCTAATAATTTCTTCAACAAAAAAGCTTTAACGTGTTAGTATCAGGTCGTTAAGAATTTTACTGGAAAGACGTGAATATCAAGAAATAATTTAAATGGGAAAAGTTAAACAAACATAACAGGGAGGCAATCATGTGTGTGGGAAATTGATTTGGTTGGCTTTCTAAATCCTAAAATCACTATTGAAATGTTAGATGAGATGATTGTATTAAAAAATAAATAACCGAATTGTTTCCATTTTCAATTTTGATTGGTTGAATTCGGATTTGAATAGTTTTGATATTCCGCGAAAATTTTGATCTATCCTCAACGGAGCTCTTGCAAGCTCGTGCCTGGAGGAGGAATCTTCTTGTTGCCTTGCTACCTTCTTATCGGTAGCCGGTCACTAACTATTTAAAGTTGTATATACATAAGATAAATTTTTGTTACTAGTTGACGAAGAGGAGTCTTCATTGAGTTTCAGTGGCCGGTAAGTGTTACGGTGATGCATTATGCTATACAAATAGCTAGAAAGTTACTGCCGTTGATGTCGATTTGGCGGACTATGGCTGTTCTTACGCGGAGTAATGAAGTGTAAGCCATTTTAGTCTTTACAGTCACGAAAGTGTGCAGCCATATAGCCGTTGTAAAACTCATTACTCACTACATGTGGAAATAATTTTTTGCTATTGCTAAAATATACTTACCTCTCATTTTTCTTTGCACAGAGGCGGTTGTCCAAAAACTGCCTCACTCAACTTTGCTCCAAATTAGCTAAAAACTGGATGAATTCCCACTCCAATTTCAATCCTCACTGGGTTGGTGAGGGGGGGGGGTGGTTAAATATGGATACTTTTCGTTTTATTAGCTAATACAACGTGTTTAATGTGCTTACATGTTGTGCTTTTTAATGCTTGGAATTAGTTATGTGTTTTATGGCAGACTGTGAGCCAGGGAAACACTACCTTTATTGCACGAAGCGTTACTTTTTGTTTACGATTCCCGACGTATCAGTTGTCATGACGTTTTAATTTCAAATAGTTTTCTGATGTGAGTATCAACTGGCTAATAACGCTCTCATGAAAGTAACTCAATTTTAATTTTGCTGGTCTCTTAGATTGGAACGATTACGTTCACTGACTAATGAAGAGATGAATCGATCATCGTCAATAAATGGATTATCATCCACACTATCACAACCGATTGCCCCAGTATTCCAGAGGAATCTCAGATCACCGCCTCAGCACATGTTGAACTCGGAGAGCACAAATACTCCTCTCAATGATGGTGCTCTCATTCCAAGACCAAAGAGTCCTTCCGAATGCTGGCTTCAGGCCTTCAAAACCGGTAAAAACAAAGCGTCCAATTAATGATTTTTTTAATTTAATATACCAAATAAAACTTGTAATAAATTTTTACGTAAATTGCAAAAATTAGAGTACTTCCAACTCTCTCCGACCTTCGATGCAATAAAAAAGACATGAACTTTGATACTAGCACTAAGGCAGAACACTTAACATTTGACCTCTCGCTAGATAAGGGTGTAAGATAGTAGACTAGTACACTTACCATGATATTTGGATAGTAATTACTTGACGAATGGTGGATCATGTATTAAACAGAATGAATTTACGATCATGGCTGAACTGAGTTGATAGGTAGTTTTACGTTCATTTGATACCAAACAATGCCATAAGTGCAAAAAAGTATTTACTCTGGTAAAAAAGCGAGTTGAAAACCACATTGAGAACATTATTCTATGTTTGGGATATGAGCCTTGAACTGCTTCACAGTAATAACAATTCTTATAGATTTTAGTCTTACAATCGACCTGATTTGCTTGTCAATTGACTCTTAAAAATTAAAAATAATTAAGCTGCGTTAGATATGTTTGTTCTTCCCCATTACTTTGAGAATATGCAATTAGCTCTTTTTCCTTTTAGTGTCGTATCCTTGGGAACGATGCCTATTACCGGCTGGAAATCAGGTCCCTTACTACAAAAAGTAAGCCAATTATATTTTAAAGTAAAATTTCAACTTTATTAATTATATAATATGTAAATAATTATGATTATTTCAAGCAGTTGTGAAAATAATTTTTATTAACATTATTCTCCTAAATGCTGTTCTATATTTATTTGATGAAATTTACAAATTAAGTTAAATATTGTGAAAAGATGCTAATGATATTTCGTTTAAAGTCTATTTATTCCAGATTGCCAAGAATTTATTTCTCAACGTCAAATAAAATTATTTCATGCAAAATTTTCTCCCATTTAAATATTGTTTTTCTTACAATTAGTCATGCAACCCAGGAGACACAATGGGATCACCCATTAATGATTGAACTATTGCAAAAAATGGATGAAAGCAACACAATTCGATTCCAGGCCTACAGAGCCGCTGCAAAAATTCGCCAGCTTCAACTGAGATTATTCTGTGAGTTAAAACTTCAACACTTTGACCAACTACGAGACCTGCACCAACGTCCTCAAAGCATTAAAAAGGAACAAAGCTATTTCTTATTTACTAGATAAGATAAAAATTGCGATTCGCAAGCCAATTGACATAGAACTGCACAGACTTTGATATAAAGTCTTCTGAAGCAAGGATAGGTGGAATTGGTAGATTTCGATTTCGCAATATTTTTGTCAGATTTTGTGAATGTAGAAAAGGTCTTCTTGGATAGTGGTATTTGAAGTTCGGCTTGCATTCGGAAACTTCATGGGCACTTGATTTAACACTTAAATTCATAAATTGGTACAAATTATTCCGAAACTTGAAAAGGGATCGAGTTAGTTCTATTTTTATCATTCACATAAATACACTCATGAGCTCAAGTATTTTCTGAAACAAATTTCGTTCAGTGGTCTTTTATCGAAAGGCGATTCAATCCCAATTACATTATATTGACTTCCTATTTTGGTTTCGCCGTATGCGTTAAGGCATTTTAGCGATTATTACTGCTTGCTAAGTTGTTTTACGATAGAGTTTAATTGCCAATCCTTTACATTTTTTCTCCATTTAAAGTATTTATTGATAATTAAGTCATATCTCTTCTTTCTAGTTGATCAAGTTCCTCTAAATGTGGCTACGGAAACTTTCGCTCGGCATGGACTCACTTCACCCCTATACAGTGAAGGATATGATGGAAGGATGATGGATGTTCCACAGATGTTGAATTGCCTTACAACCCTCTACTGCCGATTGTGGGATTTGCTGGTCAGCCAACCGGATGTCGTTAAAATTACCAATGCCTCAGGAGATTCACAAATGGTGGTTCCCACTCAGCAGACCCCGTCAAGATCGCACAACTCCGATTCCATTGCTGTTGGAAATAAGGTACAGCAAATTGTGACTTGATTATTAACTTTGCTTTAAATGGTTTTTATTTCAATAATGTGATTCTGATGCTAATAGTATTATTGTTCATTCAGATTCAGATTATTGAGTAGATTGTAATGAGACTATTATGGCTCACTACTCTCAGATTTTGATAGTGCTCTCACTGGAGGTAGTTTCAAATACTCATGTTCTCCTCTCACTTAGTCAGGATGAGCCCAAAACTAGATAGTTGGACACTTTATATAAATCTAGTACTTCAAAGTATAGTGGCAGAACTTTTAAAATTATCGCGCGATACTTGTTTATAAATAAAGTGTATTACACTTTATAATGCTGTAGGATTTGGTCAATTTTCATTTGTTTATTTTCATTCTCACTGGAAATTTAAAGAATGAGGGTCTGAAAACAGGTTAAAAATACAATGCCAAAGTGTCATTTTTTCTAATTTTACACATCGGCTAGATAATACAGATAGCCAGCCTTGAAGTCTGATGGTTTCTCAAGAGATAGGTTTCATGATACTTTCAAGCTACAAATGTCATTTTTGCCTCAAGTTCTTTAATTCCTCTTAATTTTCCCGTTTGCTCAACCCCCCCCCCCCCCCCCCCCCCCCCCCAACCCCNCCACCCCCCCCCCCCCACCCCACTACCTGTAAACCCTATCTTACCTCCCTTAAAATGCCTCTCCCTATAAAATAATTATGAAATATGCTTGGCTTGACGTGGGTATAAATAATTTGCGTCTTCCATATCGCAGTGGGGAGCCCTTAACTTTCAGAAGCCAGTCTCTCATATTTATTTACGCAAAGTAATTTCAATATTATCCGCAAGAGAGAAATGATTAATTCTAACTTGAACCAAAATGTACTTTGCCCTTTCTTCTAGACATGCCTGTATATGCCAAATGATTATTAATAGAAGTGGCTATTCCGTTTGCTAGGCCAAATTTCTATCTTTCTTAGAAAACTGTTCAAAAGACCCACTTAATCAAGCGAACTGGCAATCCCAGTTCTATGCCAAGAGATAAAATGTTTTCAGGATGTCTTTTAAAGCCTTAGCTATCATTTGATTGGTTAATTGTTTAATGTCGTGATACTTGTTCACTAAATTTAGAAGTTGAAAATTTCGAAAGTTGTTTTGATTTCCTCCTCTACGCTTTGCGTCACATTAATAAATCATGTGGAGGAGAGGGAGGGGGAGTTGGAATGCGCCCAATTTCAAAAATGAGGGAAAGAAAAATCTGTCCAAAATTTATGTTTCGGATTTCAAAATTATTAGATTTAATAAATTTTTTCCCTGGAGCCATTTGTCTCGTAATTATATTTGCTTGGATTCAAAATTGAATTTTTTGAAATTTATTAAAAGTGAAATGAATTTGATTACTTCATTACAATTTTAGCCGGTAAAGTTGAAATTCAATAAGAAATGTAGTGAAACTGGTTTCAGAAAATTGATTTGCGATTCCCAAGTGTGAAATTTGCAAGAAAAATAATTTTTTTGTTGAGATTCAACAAAACAGTAGATACAAAATAACTTAGCCAGTGTTAATGCATCATGTAAAATTTATTTTAAAAATTTACAGAAAATATTCAACATTTCGGTTTTTTGCGTGGAAAATTCTTTTTATTTATTTCAATGGTTTTAATTTGTATCAGCTTGGAATTAAGTCTTTTTAAAGTTCACATCGATCTTCATTCCTCCTACTAAATTTAAACAAGTCGAGAAGAATATCTTAAAAGATCTTTTACGATCTTATTAAGTTTTCTTTACGATTATTGTGTGTCTGAGGGGGTTTACCACAGCAGTCTTTTTCTATTAACGCTATTAACTTTTCTTAAAGGGTCTGACAGGGGTGAATATTTCCTTTTAAAGGATTAGAACTCACTTTACTTATTTCCCGTCATCCAAAATACTATTTTTTTTCAATAAATGTTAATTTTATACACGTTGAAATTAATGTCATGGTTTCAAGCCATGGGGAAACGCTTGATGACAAATCTGGGAGAATAATCCAAATTGAAGCAACCAGGAAACGGAATTTCAAGGGAAATTTTAAAATGACGATGAGAACATTTATTTATATCAAATGGCAGGCGTTTTGATAGTTATCATTAACCCTTTAATTGACTTCAGACTTCACGGAGGGAAGGAACATCAAAATGAAAAAAGTTGATTGGGGGGCAGATAAGTATTT